TCGTAATAATTTCCACAGAACTTGTTTGTCTCTTTTCTGGATTTAAAAATGGAATGTGGCAAATTAACAGTCTAATCTTGAAACAGTATATAACTAGACTTGAAGTGCTTTTTCAATTGCCACTTCATATATACATATATAAATATGTATATTTTATTCTTTATAGAATAAAAATTTACAAAGATTTTATTGTTAAAGTTCTTATCTCCAAAGCAAATGTCTCTCACTGGGTCTTACAGGGTAAAAGAGGGTCCTCTGACGTTGAGGCAGCTCAAATATTAGTCTCAGCAGCTGTCCAGTTAATCCACCAAACAGGGCATTATTGTTCTGGAAAATCTTCCTTAAACAGTTTCTGATAAATGGTCTGGGCAAAATTCTTCTATACAAAGATACTAAGACACATTAAATAACAAGAGGAAGGAAAACAGGACAGTACTTTATTGTTGCTATTCTTACTTCTAGAAAAATATAATTGCAGCATATATTTCAAAAAATGCCCATTTGTGTATAGTAGTTGGCTGGACAGACTTTGTGCTGATCTCCAGTGTTGATATACAACGCAAGTGATGGAGGAAGATGCTGTCCTTACAGCAGATGGAGACAGATTCGATTGAGTCCACCTAGGTCATGGGTTTCATAGAAGCAGCTTTCCAAGGAAGGTTGATATGTTTCTTAGGGTCCTTTTCCATTACCTAATTATTATTCTGTCTTCTGAGGTTGACTAGGATATGATATATTTTTTTAACAAATTTTATTTATTTTATTTGTTTTGTGGGGTGGTCACATCTAGTTGTGCTTAGGATTTATTCTTGGCTCTGCACTCAGGAATTACACCTGGAAGTGCTTGAGGGACCATATGGGTGCCAGGGATCGAACATGGGTTGATTGTGTGAAAGACCAGCACCCCACCTACTATGCTATTTACAACCCCTCAAGAATTATTTTTTTAGTTTGATTAAATGCTATTTTCACCAAATTCTGTATTAACTAAACATATAGCAGGTAGGGCCTAGAATACCAAAATTTAGAGGGTGATATTGCAGTGAACAACCAGTTCATAAAGAGGGGCTTTGCACAGTGTGGTTTATCACCTTTTTTACTAAGGTTTCTGGAAGAAATGGAGCGTGACAATTTTCAAAATAACTCCTGAAGAATGAATGGGAAACAGGTGTTTCTATATTAAAGGTTTTAAATAGGCTGTACTACAGGAATGAAATTTGATGGAGGGCCAAGTTTAAAAATTATTGAGAAATTATTTTCTTCTTAAGAATGACATTGAGGAAGCAGTGATGCTTCTATGACCTAACTTTAAAAAAAGGCCCTTCATTTACCACTGGAGAGAACTGACACTTAAATTTTGCCATAATCAATTTCTTAAAAAATTTAGAATAAATAGGTAAAAAGGTGAGACATAAATAAAGTAGAAATTAATAGCTTCTGAAATCACAGACAGGTTTCACTCTTGGGAGTGGTTTTTGAGGAAAGCACCTGGAATCAAAACATTTGCCTTTTAAAAATTTATGGTACCATTGATGGGGCTGAAGTGAGTTTTAGTTCAGTTTTGAGCTTGAAATGCTTCTGAGTTTCTAGGCAACAACATTTCTTGATATGATATTATAAAATAAAGAACAATGAAACAGATTAAGAGTCAAGGAGAACTTTTGTGTTACATCCTACTTATTCAAGAAACATTAAAAATGAAGTGTGAAATTCAACAAGGTAACCTAACACTGGACAAATACTAATCTAATGAGTTGGGTTCTTAGGCTATTATGAAGAATTGTGTCTGTAAAATAGTCATAGAAAACAAACCCTTGTTATTTAATTAAGGTCACTAAGTGGGGGTGTAGGAAGGAGATAATGAATGAAGCATGGGGAAAGAAGTGCAGACTAGTCAAAGTGACATAAACATAATGATAAAGAATCTTTGTCTCTTGGATGGTGCTGAAGATGCACTAAATCTGTGTACCAAATGCATAAACATAAACTATTGTAACTGTTACCTCAAATAATTGATTATATTCAATTGAATATATTGAAGCCAGAAATCTGATAATACAACAAGATTTCTAAATATCTGTCCACGTTCTTTTTCAGGGATCAGAAACCGTGTAGTGTATGGTTTCCTTCTCTAGGTTAATGGCTCTTTCATAACCACTGAGAACTACACTAGCAAGAGTCTGTGTAAGACTGAATGTCAATTTAACTACCCGACCCCACCCTCACCTAGTCTACCTTATCCCACTGAAAGATGCAGTTGAATATAGGGTACATGACATGGGGTCAGTAAATCACAAACAAGCATGATTTATCTTAAAGCCTCAAAATAGCAACAAAGTACTAACATAGCCCCAAACCTAAATTCTCTGATTATATACCAACTTCAATTATTTAGCAAGGAATGTTCTTTCTCCCTCTTTTGTTCTGCTGGCCAGTACTTCTTCCTCTGTTATTCACCACAAACTACAACTGAAGATGGATTTAAGCACTTGAGAGACTGTAAACACACTCAAAAATTTTGGGGCACACAGATTCTTGGCTGACCATTGACCTGTGGGACAAGTCCTATCCACATTGTTACAGACATGATAAGGATTCATGTAATTCCCACCAACACTGCTGAACAGGGAGCTAAGGAGACAGGGGAACTCTGTAATAAAGCTTTCAGAAGTCAGTCAACCCAGAGAAAAGTTAAAGAACATAATAGATAACAAGAGCTGGGACCTTTCTGCACCTGCACCCTGAATTGCTTCCAAGCTACAGGCCAAGCAACTGGGCCCCAGGTTCATAAAGTCATTTACCCTCAAAGTATATGGAGTTTGAATCTTAAAAATGCTACTAATTAGAGATAACATTCAAAAGGCAATTGTAGAAGTAATATAACAGTCCTTAAGTAAACCTCCTAAGAATCAAGAAAAGCTTTTAAAAAAAGAAATAAGAAAAGGGTTAATTATGTGAAATGTGACGGAAAAGTACAGGAGCTGTATGTTGGCTTTCTAACTCTTCTTCGGTTCTTACTCTTTAAGACATGTAGATGAGGGTCCGACTCTCTTCATTCAGACTTAGCACAACTGCAATCCTCTTCCTGTTTCTGCACCGGGGACACCCTTCTTTTAGGGACTCCTTTTCTAGTGGAGACACTATAGAATCTGAGCACTCAAGGAGAACTGAAGAATCATGTAGCCCATTTGACACACCAGCACAAGGAATGTCTGTGGCAGTATTCCTAACAGAGTTCTGGCTTCTTCCTACGTATCTTTGGTGTGAGCAAAGGAAATACTCTGACCTCATCTATGAAACTCTTACTTATTACTGACCCGTCTATTACTGTTCCTCTCTTTGTGTTAGGGACAGCATATTCTCATAACATTTTGGACTACTTTTAGAAATGGTCTACCCTAATGATTGTCCTTTTTTTTACAGGATGACCAAATTATCTTTAACAATTCACGGAATCACTGTTCTGAGTCAGGGATCCTTTCACATGCAGGAAAGTATCTTCAGGTAATTGAATTTTAGGAAGCGGAATACAGTATTATCAAAGAATTTGCTTCATTTTAGATGGTTGAGTCTCAAGGTTGGGGAAAAACTCATTTCTCAGCCTGCAGAAGAGGAACATTATGGGAGAAAAAAACTACGTGAGTTGGATGTTAGTCAATGGGAAAAAAAATATTTCCTACCCATTAAAGTAAAAATCAAGCATTGAATCTGACGCCAGATGTAGTGAAGTATAAGAAAAGCCAAAAGTGCTAGGCAGATTGCTAACTCCTGTGAGAAAACAAGAAGAAAGCTTCATTGATATCATCACAAATAATCTTTTGATATCATTTATATGGACTTTTCATTTAGTTTGGAACCCTATTCCATGCTTCTCAGTGAGGAATTGTACTAGTCTCTTTAGACTCTACTTCCCTGAAACATTCAAAAACTTTCAAACTGTTAGAAAAATCACATTTCTAAATTGTTTTAACCTAAATTTTCACCTCAAAATGTTTTCATTCATTTTAATTTGTAAAAATAAATATATAGCACAAAAGTAACTTCTTTATAATTTTCTAAAAACAATTTCATTCTCTTATGAAATTGAAGTTCATTTTACCAGATATGGTGATGATAATAAGTAATTTTCTGAATTTTGGGGGGAAAAAAGGTTATTGTTCATCTCACCTGATGGCTCAGGAGCATAGAATGAGAGTACTTTTTGAGAGTTCCTTGATGGGGTGACAGTCAGACCCGCATATCATCTAAGAATGCTCATGGGGTGGAGTAACCATGTACACTCTTCCTTGTGAAGAAACTGCAGAAGATTCTTCCTATAGAATCTTCAAGTCATGCAAATGTCTAGCACCCAGTGTTAGGAAGGAGACACAGACTTCAAACTTTTATTATAAAAAGAAAAAAAAAGAGAGTAACCTGTACTTTTCTGCTACTAGGACCACAGCTTAGGAAGCACTAGTTCACCAAGCCAATTCTATACTATTGTCTAGCCATCGTCAGCAGACTCCCAGAACACATGAATGAGAGGTTATTTTCCAGAGCATATTTAAAACCCAATTAAAATGTGCTTTTTAGGGGTTGCTGGAAAGGACATAAAAGCAAGTCATTAGTCTTTAGAAGCCCAAGGTAGAGACAGAAAAAAGCAGCACAAGGGCAAGAGTCCATGACAGAGGAGAACCAAAACACCAGCCAGTCGCTGTAGACAAAGTGGTCTCCAGTGCATGCCAAAGCATCAGCCTTTCAACTTCAGGCCAAAGCGCCAGCCTCGCTTGCGATTCATTGCCCTGGAAAACTACGTGTGAGATCAACCCGCAGGGGCAAAATGAAGTCAAATTTGTTTCATGTTTTTCCTTTTACATAAGACAAACAAGTCAACCTTGGGAGCCTGCATTTCCCCAAGACAGAGTTCCTCTCTTCCCCTTTGAGAGTCTTTCTTGCTGTGATTCCAGAAGGGCGCTAGGCAGCACAGGGAAGCATTCAGACACAAAAGCAAGAACACTAACCTGAGAAGTAGCTGCAGGTGAACTAGTTTCCTTACCACTCACTGCTGCCCTCTCATTGGCTGCAGCTTCTGCCACTTCTGCCTTCTGCACATTCGCATCCTCAGAACCTGGAGGCCCTATGTGCCCCAGACCTTCGCTCCCAGGGGTGGAGGGTGGGATGGTGGTGGCTTTCCGAGTTTGGCCTTTATACCAACTAGGGTAAAACAAGGGATCCGCAGGGTCCGTTGCTGCCGGAACTGGAGTTTCAGACTCTGTGGTCTGCTGAGAGCCAGTGGGCACAACCTCCCCCTTAATCAGGACAAATACATTCAAAAGTAAAAAAGAAAAAAGAAGAAAAAAAAGCAATTGATTTTAGTTTCCTTTGCCTTTGAGAACTAAGAGGTCTCTGAGTGCGGTGTTTGATTGTGCGTGTTTTAGTTCCTTCCACTCTCTGCAGGTGCTAAAGGAAGGAGTCCTGACGGATGGGCCCCTTCTGTCATGTCATCTGCATGTGCCCCCGTTTCCTTTCTGGACTTGTATGGTAGCCTGGGCAGGCAGGGAACAGGAGCCTAAATGAAATCTCCTGATAAAATATCAGGTACAGGACAAAGGTCACTCACTCTTTTGACCAATATTAAGTTTTGACATTATATGTGGCTCCTCAAAAACCTCTTCTGAAAGTCAAAATCGATTTTGTTGATTAAATTTAACTCTCATTTGATAATCACACCTCTTTCAATTTCAGTGTAACTGATATATCCAGAATTTTGAGATTCTAAGGAACTATAAATAGTATGTTAGCCTAGTTTCCTATGGAGACAAGAATATAAACTCTAATTTTGAGTTCCCCTTGAGCTTTTGTTTCTATGGATCATTTCATCCCACTCTGAAAGGTGCAAAACCAGGACTTCCTTTGATGAGTCTGCATGGTCCACAAACTCAGCGGTTTGGGAGCTATCAACTGTGGATGTTATGAAGTTAGCACAAAGGCTTGAAAACTGGACAGTAACATCTTAGAAACAAGGTCAAACAATTGAGTAAGCATCTGTCATGAACTAATTTCCTAGAGATTTCTTTTAAAATTCTATCAACATATAATCTTGACAAACTTACACAGATACAGAGAAAAGCAGATACACAGGAAACTAGGCTTCATTTTCCGACTTAATAAAATATTTACTGTGTTTTAGGTTTAGTGAGAGGGACATAGACCAACATGATTTCTCTATTTACTTCATGTATGATATACCAAAAATTCTGATTTAAAATAACAAACATTTTAATTTCTCATTATACTTTCTATTCATCCATGTTTATGGCAGATAGTCCTCCTGATGTTGGCTTTCTATGAAGAACTTGTTACACACACACACACACACACACACACACACACACACACACGGCTTCCAAAGATAATCTCAGACTGAAGGGTGCTATTGGTGAAAAAAAAAGTATTAAATTATAGCCAATCAGTTATAACAACTATGAACCTATTGGATCACTTAGAGAATTTTCCTCCTGACTCCGGGACTTTCTGAAATCTCTTGTGGTCCATATGGACAGGTCTGGCATATAGATCCCTTTTTCTTAAGAAAGAGTGAATTGTTTACGCTTTTTAACAAAGAGACACATCTGCATCAGTTTAGGAAGGAACTTGGAGATGATTACCTGTGTCACCAGGGCATCTGCAGCAGGTGGCAGGACAAGAAGTGCCTCTGGGGAGGAAACTGGAACATTCCCTGGACCATCCTGGAGCTCTAAGGCCATCGAAGGGGTCTCCAAAACTTCCTCTGGACTTTCCTCTTCTCCCCAGGACTCTGTTATGACATTTTGTATCTCTTCTCTTTCTGCTACTTCTTCTGTTTCTTGTTGTTCTCCATCTCCATCTCCTTCTCCTCCTCCTTCTCCTCCTTCCTCTCCGTCTCCTCCTCCTCCTCCTTCTTCTCCTTCTCCTTCATCTTCTTCTCCTTCTTCTTCTTCTTCTTCCTCTTCTGGTAAGGTAATACATTTTTTATTTTTATAATTACCACTGAAATCATGAAAGCAATGAGTGGCCAGTATATATAACTCAGCTTAAGGTGAAAGATGGGAAAACCCTCTTCAACAAACACTGGTCCAAATATGCCATTCTGGACCTTATGCTTCCACTAAATGTGGACAGTATAAGTGGGGAGGTGGGCTCACCCATCAACATCATCCTGGATTCCTTCCCAGTTCAAAATACATTCCTTATCACCACCATGAGTCATCCACCTGATCCCCAATATACAGCTCCATTTTTATTCTGCACTGTCACATTTTCAAGTTCTTAAAAGTCTGAGGTTGTCACCCACTTAGTTCTGTTATATTTAAAGAAAATTTAACTCTTTACTATCTCAGAAACATACAAATTCCCACTTTTGTTTTAATTTCTTATCCATTCTATTCAGTAAATTCTAATTTTTATTTTGTTTTGGGGTCATATCAGCTGTGCTCAAGGCTTACTCCTGCCTCTGTGCTCAGAGATAATTTCTGGGAGTGCTCATATTCAGGGTTAGGAATGAAACCCAGATCAGCCACTTACAAGGCAAATACCTTATCTGCTCTTATTTCTCCAGCCCCTGAATTCTTACTTTTGACACAATGCTAACTCTTGATCTTATGAGCAATTAAAGAAGAACAATATTAAGTAACTTTAAAAATCCATCCTGAAGATTTGCTTCTAAAGTTATATCCATGGATACTGACATAGCATTATGACAATCTTAGTGGTCTGAGAATACCAAAGTTATTGTGAATTCCAAGTGTAGTATTTGCAATGATTATTAGAATAAATTTTTAGGAGTGGGATTGCTAGGTTAAATGGTATGGTGTTATAAATATTAGAGTAGATATGATTGCAGAGACCTAGTTCTATTTCCAGGTTGTGACTTCTTATTCTGTAACTTGCTATTATTCTTGCTCTCTAAAGTTTGATTAATTGGATGTGCTATAATATCTATCCAGATGTCTTCTCTATTTTATTTTTATCTTATCTTTAAACTTCCACCAGATGACAGTTTATATCAGTGTGCTAGTACCTTGCACAAGGTTAAAGTTGAGATGTCACCATCTCCATCAGTTGTGAAATATTTGACTACCGAGAGCCAATGCCCAACAATAGCACTGTAATATTCACTGCATCATACAAAGCTAAATAAATCCTGTCAACAAACTTATGATTCTGCAATGAAATAGAACTTCACTTTGGATTACGATGCTTGTAAAATTGTCAACATTAATTCTGGAGCTGATTATGAACCCCATCTTCCTCCTGCTGAATGACTTCAGCAACCTTCACACACCTGCAATTTTGGTCAAATGGTCACAAATATAACAAACCTCTGTAAAAATCAATTTCACGTATTATTTTTTCTTCTCTATTGAGGTTGACTGTGAAGTGGTTCATGTTCTCATAACCATGTTCTATTTTCTCCATCTGAAATGCCTTCGATGCTTCAGAAATTCTGCAACAAAGACAAGTTGCGACTTTTCGTCACCGTTTAAAGTCTGACAGCCTTGATAGAAATGAAAAGTATGCATTTTTTTTATAAAATGAATATTACTTACTTTTGTAACAGAGTTTTAGCATTCTGTGGAAGCAAACAAAAAACAGGCCTATTTAAATTCTTTTACAAAGATAGTGTTGAGACTTAATTCTTTTCTTTGCTGACTCTGAAGATCTTATAGCTTCCTTTTTTAAATGCCATAACTAAAATCTGTCTTATACCAGTCTCATTTTTCAGAGATATGAATATCTTAATGCTTGAAGCATATATTATTTGAAAATTATTAAACAGTCATAAAATTATGATCCAAATGTGTTTGTATTTAAGTTGTTAAAATAGATTAAATTGAAATATAATTTATATATATTATAAAATAATTCTATTTGTTATAATATATAGAGATAACCCAAAGAGCTAGTGTACATGTTATGCATGTAATTTCTATGTTCAGTTCCTGACACTGCATTGTCTCCTGAGATTGCCAGGAATAACCCCTGAGTGCCATATTGGGATATGACCTCCACCCCTGACAAGTGTAATGGCAACTTCTTTCCTATCACAAACCATTTTGGTTAATTTCCTTGGTATCAAACTGAGGCAGACTTACCTGTAAAAACACTGCCATTTCTGGTTCATCCATGAACTGGATTCCAGACTCAACCAATTTTGACACATTCTCCAAATGATCAGAATACTTTTTGATCAGGGAACGAACATGGTCCAGTTTTTCCTCTTGGGTTCGAGTAATGACTTGGGCCATTTCATTCTTTCTCTCCTCCAGGATGCCATACAGGTAATCAAACTTTTCACAGAGATCCTGCTTCTGTTTTCTGCAATATTCCTGTTAGTTGGGTTAGCTAATGTTAGGAAATTTTTGAAAAATTATCTATTTGGAGAAATAACCAGGACATTTTGGGAAATAATATTTAATTATGTAGAATATATTTTTTTCTTTTCTTTGATATGTTCTTTAGAAATAGACACACACTTCGTTGTGCTCTGAAAAATCCTGTATTTATCAAGCTTGACATTTGGTAATTCAAAAATAAAGTAAATTGACTATGTTAATCAATTATGTTTCAATCATTTATAAAGTTATAATTTTATATAAATTAGGAAAATTTGGGGTTAGATTTTAGGTCAACGTTTAGATTATAGACTTCCATTTTGCTTTGGATAATGTATGTATTGTAAGGAAAAAAAATCTCTGGTGGTTCTTGGTTTGCACCTTTCAGTCTCTGCTCCTCTTATACTGTTAAGTGTCTTAGTTTCATCCTCCTACCAAAAACTGCTTCATCTGGGGTTTCCCATTGAATCATACACACACATGCCGTAGTAAAATTTGCTTACCCCAAATGCAGTCCTTTTTCTCTTTCATGACTTCTATTCGCCAGTGAATAACACTTAACCTCCAGAACTGGTCTTCATGACCTGGTTCCAACTTTTTGCTTACATTATCCTACTTTTCTTCATCATGTATCTTGCATGAGTACAGCAAAAATTAGCACTTGGTTTCCTTGCTCATGCTCTTCCATCTAGAATATTCTTCCTCTTACAAACCCTACACTATCTTAAAGATACCATTGTTGAAAATGGCATTTCTATAAGAATTTCTTTAATTTCTATAGCTGAGTGTCATCATTTTAATCACCCCAAATCCCATAACTGTTACCTTCTGTGGTGTATGTACTTGCATACATTATTTATTAAATTCTAGCTAAGGGAAGTACTGAATCAGGTCTTTGATTCCTAAAGAGAAAAGCGGGATGGGGATTCAGGCTTGTGTAGTCTTTCTGGTACCACATGTCTCCTTTTATTACTGAGTTCATTCTTAAACCACAACTGACTTTCCATTTGGTCTGATCATGGCCTTTTGCGCTTTCAGGTTTAGTAGACTTGGTATATGATATGCCAGTTCCCTCAGACTGGCTATACCTGCATGCAGAACTTTACGCTGGAAGCTGATTTTGAACCAACCAACATGATCCAGTGCAGCTCTCCTGCCTAGAAGGGGCTTCTTGGATATCCAGCCAATTTATCTTTGAGTTTTGTATGACCATCACTACATGTTTTTTCATTTTAGTAAACTTTCTTCTCTTTGCTGTATATACTGCTTCCTTCTCTTATACAAGTTTCTTGAATCAACTATATTCTTGAAAATAGAATTTGGGTCCATATAGGACACATAGCATTCTGAACAATAAAAGTTCAGTAAATATTTGTAGAATCTATTTCTTAACAATTATGGTTCATTGCTCTTTAATTTCTCTGCTATTCTCAAAATAAGAGTTGGAGGTAGAATCACCGAAACCAAATTGTTGATTATGAAGATACTCCATATTTCTGCGAGAAATTCATTTGCTACTTTACTGTCTCCTCTAGAATACAACACAATTATCATCTTATTTTCTAACCAAATTAAAATACAAACAGGAAATGGTTCAAATCATTTTAATAATAAATGTAAATAGTGAATTATAAATAAATGTTTAATAATAATAACTTTTATCATTGACCTATCCATAGTTAACAAACTATTGGTATGTCATTTGTAAGACTCTAGGAACCCAATAATGAATTTAACACAGTTTCTTTTTTAAGGCACCAGAGGAAATTTGACTGTTCTTTTATGCAAGACACCCAAGTTTAATCCCCACCAACATATGGGCCCTAGAACACTGTGAGCAACCTCAGAGCACCTCTGAGTATGGCTCAAAAAACCATCTCTCTCTCTCTCTCTCTCTCTCTCTCTATATATATATATATATATATATATATATATATATATCTTCACCCACCCCTCTCTTAAAATTTTAGGAACCAGAAAGATAATGGACTAGACTCGTTTCTCATCACTATCATCACTACATGGACCCCTGATCACTGGTTATAAGCAGAAATCCCCAAACACTGAGCCAGAAAGAGCCCCTGAACACAGTTGGGTGTAACCCCAAACCCAAAATAAATAAATAATAAACAAGCATAGTTCCATTTTTCCAGACTCACAGTTTACCGATTTAAAAAAAGACAATGAATGAATAATATCAGAAAATATAGTAGAATTATACCTGGCCTATGTACAACAGATGTGAATACTTGTATAGAGTGGAGGATGTTTTCGGGGAATGGTTTGGGAAATTAACTGTAGAAAAGTTTCTTAAAGGATAACTACCAGAGCCCCACCATAAAGGAAAGGAGAGGAAGAAGAGGTATGAAAAGGACAAGAAAATCCAGGGTGTCTCTGCAGTTGTGAAAGTAATGAGGGTCCACATAGCATCTCCAGATACCAAAAAAAAATGATGGGCTTGCCAAATATCTATCTATTTTCAGACTTTTAACTTAAGATTTGGAGTATTTTAGGGAGCAAGAACTGAAGTCTGGGGATAAAAAAATAGTACAGTGGATAAGGCGCTTACATGCAGTTGACCTGAGTGAGATCCCCAACATTCCATATGATCCCTGAGTGGTTCCGGAGTGCAGAGCCAGGACTAAACCCTGAGCAACACTGGTATGGCTCCAAAGTAAAGCAAACCCCAAAATAAATAAATAAATAAATAATAAATAAGAGAGAAGGGAGAACTGAAAACTGAAATCTTAGGGAGCTCAGATAGAGAAGGGAGCACCAAATAAAGGGTGTTGGGAGGATTTAATACACATTACATCATTTAATTTATTTGAAGATAAGTTGTTTGCAATGACTCTGGCATGAAATAATGCCATAGTGCAAGGATGTGACCAGAAAGGGACCCTCCTTCACTGCTGGTGGGAATGCCAACTGCTTCAGCCCTTGTACCATATTGAACTTTAATGATAAAATTGCTAGTATTTTAATAACAACAACCTTTTGCTTATATTTTACACTGAGAAAATGCTAGCCCATGCATAATATATTTTTTGCATTTATTATTATTGCATTTTATTATTATTGTATTTGTAATATTGCTTGACACACTATAAGCCTTGCATCTTTTTAATTAAATATATATAAATTTCCTATTTGAATTATTTAATAGTGAAATTGTGAAACAACATGGGGGATCAGAAGTAGCTTATGCTTCAAACCACATTCCTCATTTCCACATGTAGAATCCAAAACCCAGATGTAAGTCAAGTTTCTCAAACCATTGTCAATTATTCTTAGTCCCTGACTTTAAGCCAAATCTTTGAATTTTTAGATCATTACTCCAGACATAATCAGTTGTGACATACTTTAAAGCAGCACTGCACTGTAGCACTCTCCTCCCATTGTTCATTGATTTGCTTGAGCAGGCACCAGTAACGTCTCCATTGTGAGCCTTGTTACTGTCTTTAGCATATCAAATACACTACAAAGTCACTGTCACTGTCTTCTCATTGTTCATCGATTTGCTCGAGCGGGACCAGTAACATCTCCATTTTGAGACTTGTTGTTACTATGTTTGGCATATTGAATACATCATGGGTAGCTTGCCAGGCTTTGCCGTGTGGGCGAGATACTCTCAGTAGCTTGCTGGGATCTTTGAGAGGGGTGAAGGAATCGAACCCGGCTCAGCCAGGCTGACTGTGCGCAAGACAAAGGCCCTACAGCTGTGCTATCACTCCAGCCCATACCACAAAGTGATTTTTAAAAATTTATGTGAACTGCATATGTTTCTTTGAACAAACTTAGTATGCTAGTAAACTTTTAAATCATGTGATCTCATATTGTTTTGGAATTACATTCATTAGTTCATTTCTTCAATAAAATTAGTTCATTCTTTCAAGAAAATTCACTAAATGCTAACAATGTGCCAGGCTTTATAAGGTTTTATGAAAGTCTGTCATAATTTTCTACTGTTTAGAATACTAGTAAACATAATATGCCATTTTTTAATTTTTAACAACAAAGAAAACCTTTTACTTTTTCTCTTTTTATTTAAGGATTAATGTCCTTTGAATAGAATTGTATGCAAAATATAATAAAAGTAAGACAAATTTGTTTCTGAGGCAGGGAAAATGCTAGGTTTACCCTTAAAATTTTGAAAGTAACGCTACTTCAGGAAATAAAAGAGGACATGAGAAAATGGAAAGATATCCCCTGCTCCATGGGTCAGGAGAGTTAACATTGTCAAAATGGCAACACTTCCCAAAGCATTGTACAAATTCAATGCAATCCCTATAAGGCTACCCATGACATTCTTCAAAGAAATGGAGCAAACACTCCTGACATTCATATGGAACAATAAGCCCCCACGAATAGCTAAAGCAATTCTTGGGAAAAAGAAAATGGGAGGAATCAACCTCCCTAACTTCAAACTCTACTACAAATCAGTAATAATTAAAACAGCATGGTACTGGAACAAAGGCAGAGCTGCAGACCAATGGAACAGGGTTGAATACACTGACATCTCCCCTCAATCATATGATCATCTAATCTTTGATAAAGGTGCAAGAAATGTGAAGTGGAGTAAGGAAAGCCTCTTTAACAAATTGTGCTGGCAAAACTGGACAGCTACATGCAAAAAAGTGGGCTCATATCTGTCCTTAACACCCAGTACAAAAGTAAGATCAAAATGGATTAAAGACCTCAACATCAGACCGGAAACCATAAGGTACACTGAAGACAAAGTTGGCAAAACCCTCCATGACATTGAAGCTAATGGTATCTTCAAAGATGTCACGCCACTGGCTGAGAAGTGAAAACAGAGATAGATAAATGGGACTATCTTAAACTAAGAAGCTTCTGCACCTCCAAAGAAACAGTGACCAAAATACAAAGACAGTCTACAGAATGGGAAAGGATATTCACCGAATACATATCTGACAAGGGGTTGATATCAAGGATATACAAAGTACTGGTTGAACTCCACAAGAAGAAAACAT